ATTTGGAGCATCAATTTCCACACCAGGGAAATAATCCCAACCATTGAGAATGAGTCTCTTAAGACTTTGGCTTGAAATCTTGTACTTACTTGGTAAGTAACAGGCATTCACCTTCAATACTGGAATGCTAATAAATATAGACCGGAAGCGTTCCAAATCCATTCCAATAACACCGTCCAAGTACAACTCTCTCAGATTTGTGCAACCGGTCACATCAATAGCACATGCAGCATTTTCGGATTCAAATGAAAATGTATGAAGACTCGGCACATTAATTTCAACCCTCTCAAACTCTTTGTTGCTTCTCAAGAAAAAATATGTTAACTGAGATTTACATGAAACAAATAGAGAGCGGCCTTCACCTTTGCACCGAGAAATTGATAAGTGTTTCATCCTAGGGCAAGCACACACAATCTTTTGTAGCAAATTGTCACCAATAAATCTGCATAACGAAAAAGAGAGCTTCTCTAGATTTGGGAGCTCAATACGAACAAAGCAATTTTCCTCTATGGTACAACCAGACAAATCCAAAACCTCGAGTGTCCTTGCAACAAAGACTTGCTCAGGAACAGAGTAAGTAACAGGGCGTGTCATTACCGACCCCCGAGTATGAGTATCAACAATATTCAGAACTAGCTTTGAAAGATTATTGTCTAGAGCAAGACCTAACCAACCGTCTAACTTTGGTGTCAAAGTCTTCACTTCTAACCTTGTTCTAATTTCTATGCAGACTTCTTTTATGAAACGCCTCCTAGCAAGGCACTTACCCAAGGAATTCTCTACGCGATCCAAGAAAGGATGCTCTGGATTTTCTACCTGATTATCCAAGTTTTCATTGTCCAACAAACGGAAATTCAGATTAGGGTAAATGCACCAAATGTCATTCCAATACTTGGATAAAACGCAAGTACGACCTATTTCCTTAAATGGAAGGAATGACAATATATGATGAATCAAGGATTCAGGAAGCCTCAAGAAGTCGTCCGCCATTTCTGTCTGCCTCCAAGTTTATGCTAAGCAACATATACTAGCACGAAAAGCTTGGAGTAGAAATCCAAAAGAAGTACCTCAATGTTCCGCGCAACAACTCTGAAGGGCAAGATGATCCATCAGATGAAGTTCAAGGCGACATAAATTTTGAATGTATGAAATCCAGCGAATTTTGTGTTCTTGAATTCTATTTTTTACAGAATAATAACACAAGGTTGTAGGGTTTTTAATGGATGATGATAGAGATTAGAGAACCTCAAGGATAAAGGCAATACATTATACATCATGCACCGGATCCTCCAAAATAATTTTTTGTTATAAATGATACTAAGTGCAGACATATAACGATTATAAGGATCGTAACTATCAACATTATTATTGTCATTATTATTTGTATATTATATATATATTATATCCACATTTATAAGAAGATGATGAATGAATGGAATGGTTGTCACTTGTCTCTACATTGTTATTATTTTCTTTTCCTTTTCTTTGTATTGTTTCTATTACGAATACCATCCGTTTTTCTGGAAACTCTGGGAGTGGCTATGAGCTAAAGGCAAATTATATCATGCACCGGTCCATTAAAATAATTTTTAAATTATTCATCTGTAATTAATATATTATGTATTTACAGCTAACTAATCTAATTATATATTTGTAAATAAATTAAAGATGGAACATAATATGTTAATTACATACACAAAATATATTAATTACATGCACATAATATGCCGTTAACATTTTTTTTTTTTGAAAGTGGAAAATCATATTATTATTATTATTAATTTAAAAGAGGAATAAGACAATCTGGGGGATAATCCTACCAGAACGTTTGTATAGACTCAGAGGAGTCCCTAGCAAGCGTGTGGGCCATTGCGCTTAGACAATCAGATTCGAATCAGATTCTGTCAAGATTACGAGATTTTAGTCATGAAATGGCCTCCTTACAAGCTATTGCCTCTACAAGATGGTAGTCGTTGATCCTTGTAATTGGTCCTCTTTGTAGCAACAATGAAGGAACTCGTTTCATCTATTAAAACTACCCCGAAGCTTGCCGAGTCTATAACTTGGGAAAAGGCAGCATCAACTTGACATCTCACCATTCTAGTAGGAATGGTTCCGATATACTCTGTCTGTTTATTCGGCCATTTACGTTCGGTAATAAGCACCACCAATCCGCTACATTTCTTTCTGCCTCCCGCCAAATATCCATACTAGATATGGCTTTTCCCTCCTGATAGATACCTAGCACAAATACCCTGTCTGTACCACCTAACAAGCAGTCGGGCATAACACTCGGAGTATAACCAACCAGTCAATCTTAACTCCCTAACCAATTATTCTTCCATATAACATCCAATTTATTAGCCATAAGTATTCAAATTATTACAGTATTACTCATAAAAACTCATTATCACCCATAAATCTCATTAAACACCATTATCACCCATAAATCCCATTAAAACCCCCCCACTAATAATAGGAAGCCTACAGTCCTACACTACTCATCCTACTACTATAAAAACTATGTGATGAAGAACAAGGGGAGGAGGACTCCAATTTTCTCTAGAAAACAGCCATATAAATGTACAAAAATACTTACAATATAGTGAAATTTGGTTTGGCACTGCCCAAAAAGGCTCGTGTTTTTCCTTTAGGTATCTGATTGCTATAATCTTCAAGCGCACAGAGTCAATCACAATATAAATTCCTGAAGTATTCTAGGGTCGATCCCATGAAGAACATTATTAATTGTTATCTTGAATAATCAAATTGTTGATAAGGAAAAACGCAAATAAATAGAATTAATTAATATGATTAAAAAGAATATTTATGAATTTAAAGCAAAGAAAATTCCAACTGAGATAAGACTATGGATTTGGGATTCACCTATTAGACAATTGATTAACCCTCATAAGTATTAATTCTTATAATTATAGTGATGATTACTCCAAATATATCCTAATACTTCGTCGAGCTATTAGATTATATACAACTAACTATGATCATTCGTCGATATCTCACCAATTGAACCCATTAATTAAACAACAATCAAATCTCACCACAAATACCTAAAGTTATGTCTAGTTTAGGTCAATATGGACAAGGAGATGGAGAAGAAAACCTTGAAAGTTGAATTTGATGAACACTTTGACATTATTATTATTTGTTAATTGTTATTTACTTTGTTTCAAAATTTGAAAACTTGAAGTTTTTGTATTGATATGATGATTTCTTTATTTTGGACTTTTGGAGTTTGCATGGACTATGATTTGGAAGTTTGATGGAATGACTCTATGACTTTATGATTTGATGATTTCTTTATTAAGTTATTTTGTATTGTATTGATTTGATGAAATGATGAATTGATTTGAAAGTTTGCTTTGATAGTTTATAAGTTGTGATTTATAAAGTTGTGAGTCGTTGCTTGTGTATTTGTGAAATTGTGTTTTTTACTTGTAATTCTAAAGGTGTATACAATTTACAATTAAATTAATCAATTATAATCTTATAGATGCTTTTTTAGGTACTTAGGTATTTAAGATTTTAGGTTTTTTTTTAAAAAAAAAAAATATTTTAAAAATTAAAAAAAAAATAACAAAAATAAAAAATAAAAACAGTGCGCGATTTTTTCAACATTGGTCATACCCCACACATGCACCATCCACCTAGACGCTATCATAACACCCCACAACACCCCTACGCCGACCACGCTACTGGGATGCGACAGGGCGCACTTGACGCCTAGCACGCGTCGTCCGCCGGCAACCGCCGCGTCCACACCTACCGTCACCCAACCGACGATGGGCGACGCTTCCGCCGTGCCATGAACGCGGGCGCCCCGCTGCGTGAGCGAGGCAAGCCGCGACACTCCAACTGCCAGAAGCCGCTGCACCACTCGGTGGTTGTTGAGCGCCCGCGTGCAACCCCCTTCCAGACCTCCTCCGCAAGGCACCCCATGCCAGTAGTGGCCGAAGCCCAATCCCAATCTCGATCAGAAAGCACAAATGAAATTGAAATATAGGCAATGAAAACTTAGCTTTGATCTAATGTAGATTGAAGAAGATATACAATCTTGAATTAAAGTTGGAATTGAATTGCAATCTTGAATTGAAATCTAATCTAGCATAATCTAATCCTATTCTATGTAGAGACAAGTTAGAGACTGAAAAAGTCTCTTTAAAACTTGTCTACCTAGGGTCCTTTAAATAGCTCAAAAACAACTCTTCAACTGTCTAGGACGCGCCCTTCCGCGGCCACAACCACGGCCTCGATTTTTACCAATATGCGTCTTTGTCCCAATGTGATTTCAGAGCACATATAATTGAGCTCCAAATCTCCAATGTACTTAGGGTGTGTTTGGTTCGCACATAGGAATCGGAATCGGAATGTGTATCAAATACTTGGTAATGATAATGGGTTTTGGTGAAAGTATTTAACATGTTTGGTAGTAGGGTGGAATGAGAATGGTTACTAATAGTAGTGCTTGAAAATGAATAAGGGAATACCCTTATTGTATTTGGGTATGGGTTTTTCAATTGATGGGGTATTCGAAACTCATAGTAGTGTTCTAAAAACCTATCAACCAAACAACAACCATCACTTTCATACCCATTCCTATGGGCAAAACCCACCAACCAAACACACCCTTAAATTTACTGTCAATACCTCCAAATCACGACACAAAGGAACCGGATAAGCACACATACTTATCTTCCAAATACCACAAAATCATATGAATTTGATGTCAAATATATACATAGAAATAGAAAAAATTGACACTCATCATTCACTATTTTCCCTTAAAAATTCAACCAATTAAAATTTGAATAGGAACCAAAAGGGAGTCATGCCTCTACTACTATACAATGAGGTTCCCATTAAACTTATAATAATAATGTTTAATGTTTATTACATTAATGATCATGTCACAAAATATGAAAGTTGATTAATCTAATATAGACAGTAAAATAAAATACATTCTTTTTTTGTGAAAGAATAAATCAATATAAACCAGATAGCGGTAAATATAACTGCCTCTGCATACCTACATCTCCTTTAGTACGTAAAAATCTGTAATAGGGGGGAAAAAGTGAAATTCAATATTTCCTGAGAGATATATAGACAGTAAATACTCAACATTTTTACTTGAAAGAACACAACCGGCTAAAACTTAGCAGCTACTGCTACTATTAGTTGTTGATCTGCTAGGCCATTGTGCAGTAATGACAGAATTCGGAGAAAGGGCTGCAGCCTCATTATTCTTCAGTAACAGTACTGAAGAATCTGTAGGGCTTCTCTTGGAATGGGAATCTGTCTTCCCAGTGGAATCCATGTTCTGAATCTCTACCAATCTCTCCAACACTTCCGGCATAGTCGGCCTCATATCTTTCCCACTTTGCAAGCACCGGAAAGCCAACTCCGCCACTGCACTGATCATTTCCCGGACTTTGGCATCCGATTCGAACCCGAGGTTTTTATCCACGAGCTCGTGTAACGCGTTGCATTGGATCTTGTTGATAGCCATGTTGGAGAGGTTGATCTCGTGACGGTGCCTGGTGATATCCACGGCTGGAAGGGACGATATGAGCTCGATCAGCACCACCCCAAAGCTGTAAACGTCGCTCTTACTGGTAAGCTGGTAGCACTCGTGATACTCTGGGTCAACGTAGCCCGGGGTGCCCTGTGGAGCTGTGGAGACATGGGTGACGTGGGTCGGGAAGAGCCGGGACAGCCCGAAATCCGCAACCTTGACACAGAAGTTGTTGTCCAGGAGAATGTTGTTAGTCTTGACATCGCGGTGGATGACGTCAGAGAGATGGAGATAAGCCAAAGCACTGGCGGTCTCGACAGCGATGCTCAACCGAGTAGCCCAACACATCGATCTAGGCCTCGCCCGCTCACCGTGAAGATGATCGGCGATTGTGCCATTGGGAACATACTCATAAACTAGGAGAAGCTCGCGAGAGTTGCGAGAGGTGCATCCATAAAGGGTGACAAGATTCTTGTGGCGCTTTTGTGCTAGGATTTCAATTTCAGTCATGAACTGCTCAACCCTCTTGTAGTTATTTTCATATAAGCGTTTCACAGCAACAACCCGCCCATCTCTGAGTTTACCTATAATAAATTCCACACTCAAGAAGTTATACATCAAATCAAATGTTAGGCATATGGGCCACGGTAAAGAGCCAAATCCATCAATTGGTGATTAGAAAATTGTTGGGCGGATACCTGTAAATCGCCAAGACCAGTACCCTATCGTACGAAAATGTGATGGCGATTTATAAGGAAATAAAGTTGTGTATTTGCTACGAGCTATAGCTTTTAGTGTAGTGGTAAGTGCTTGATCTAACAAGTGATATTAGAACAGCACGAGTCCGAGCAAAAACTGTGCAGTTAAAACTAGGAGGGGAAATTGTTGAGCGGAGACCAATAAAGGGTCAAATCCATCAATTGGTGGCTAGAAAATTATTGGGCGGATGCCTATAAATGGCCAAGTCCAGTACCCTGCTGCACGAAAATGTGATGGCGGTTTATAAGAAAATAAAGTTGTTTCTTCACTACGAGCTATAGCTTTTAGCGTAGTGGTAATTGCTTGATCTAACAAGTGATATTAGAGCAGTACGAGTCCGAGCAAAAACTATGTAGTTAAAACTAGGAGGGGAATTGTTGGGCGGAGACCGATAAAGGGTCAAGTCCATCCATTGGTGGCTAGGGAATTATTGGGCTGAGGCCAGGCCGATGAAGCCATGAAGGGCCAAATCAAATACCTTGCCTCTAGAAAATGTAATATTGGACCTTTGCTATAAGCTATACCTTTTGGCATAGTGATAAATGTTTTATCCTAACATTAAAATACTTTGGATATTGGGGGAATGTGTGTTTTTTCTCACCTTTATATACAGTGCCAAATCCACCATCTCCAAGTTCATTGCTGGGATCAAAATTGTTGGTGGCTTCTTCAAGCTCGGTATAATCAAAGAGGGGGACTCCATGGTAGTTTGAACCATTTTCAAGATCTATGGTTGATGAAGATGGATTTGAAGGAACGCTTCGCGACATTAAGTACGATGATGAAACAGAGCGCTGCTTCTTTTGTCGTCTATGGTACGCAAACCAACAGAAGCATACTATGAAAGCAAATGCAGCTCCGCCAATGCCTGTAATTCTAAACTCTAATTAGTGTTCAAAACTGGAAAATTCAGAAATAGAAATAATTGCTGCAATGATCAAAGGGTCAGGTGTAATATAGAAAATTACCTATGCCAATCTTCATTCCCACATTTTTACCTGTGATATCAACTGTTGTTAGAAACAATTTTTGGTTGTATATTTAATGTTTAATCTAAGTTAATTATACTCAATGAAACATATATTTAAAAGCTAAACAGTAAATCATATGCATGAAATCATAAAAGACAAAAAAGAATAATGATAATAACAACTAGAAAGTGGAAATTTTATAGGTGGAGCCTGGAGGCCACCGCCAGTCTAGCATCCTGTGGCTGAGGAATTGTTGAACGGAGATCAGTAAAGGGCTTTAAAGGCCAAATTCAACACCAGGTCTTCCCAAAATATGATGTCGGTCTATAAACAAAATAAAGTTGGGCCCTTAGTTACTAATTATAACTTTTGGCATAGTGGTAAGTGTTTGATTCTAACCGTTACCATGAGGGCAGGTTCTGTTTTGTATTTGGTTATGGCAGAAACAGGAGAATTCATTGTTGTAAGAACCACAGTTTCCCCCACTTTTCTCGCATTCGCTACAATTAGACCCATCCCACTGCAGAACAAATCCTCTCTTCAAAACTTGTGTATAATTCAACTCCACCAATTTGCTTATAGCTTCAGCCTCCACGGGCGTGTTAACCGGGGGCTGGCACAACTCTACTGAATAGTTGTAGTGCTCAAAGAGATCAGTATGAAAATCAGCAAAAGAATGATGGGAGCCATTGCTGGCACAATCCACAGAATAAGTCCCCATCTCGTAAGGCTTCGGGCAACCATAGAAGAAGAAGAGGTCATCCGTGTCAGGGCCATAGCTAAACGGGGTACCTTCCGTGCTAAAATTGCTTCGAGGAACAGGACATTCATTATCCTCGTCAAAAACCTCGGATTTAGCCAACCGGAAGGAATTGTTGGGGTAAAACATGTTTTTGAGGATATAATCATCGTTTCGAATCTTGATAACGGGCTTGTCATCGTCACACGTTATGGTGTATCCAGGCAAGCCGCAGTTGGATTCTTGTTTGTTTGGAATCCAGAAAGGGAATGACACCTTGAGGCCATTACCACAATCTTGAGGATTGCAGGTTGAGGAATTCAAGGATTGGGCTTCATATAGTGAGATGAAGATGAAAATAATACAAAGGATTATTGAACTCTTGAACATGATTGAAGATGGAGGGAATATAGAGAGAGCAAAAGAATGAAGCAGGAAAGAGGAGGATGGAAATGATACTAGAAAGAATTCTTGGTAATTTTTCTAGTTTGTACATTTATGTGAATAAACTAGTTGCAGTCTTTTGTATAAAGATGAGGAAAAATTTGTTTCAAAGACTTCAAGCAACTGCCTGCAAAGACTGTTTTAGCCTCCCAATGAGCTATTTGGTGAAATATAGGTAATATGGGGGGAAAACAAAACCTCCAAGATACGATATAGGTTGACGACATGAAATGTTGACTTCAAACTTTAGCTTTAATTTGAACAAACATCCAATGGATGACCCAAAAGTCAAAAAATGTAGGAAATGCATTACAACATGGAAATTAAGGTATGACATTTGTTTTTACAACATTTTATTTTTAATGTTCTATAATCTTTTTTTATTTTGTCTGGCCATGAGTTTCCTCATTCAAGGTACACGGATCATGTGTTTCCTCACACACCTCCCATGAGTTTTATGATCATTCATTTGATATTGAACTTCTACAATTTCTAACAGCACCATATTCAATTTGGGGTAACCATAATTTCCATAATCAAGTTAGTAGACCGCTAGATTGGTAACTACAAAGTTCCAAGTTCAATTCTTAGTATGAGCGATATATTGGACTTCTTGATTTGAATTCGTCAGCTATGAGCAACCTAGGATATTTTATCTTATTCTGATCATTTGTCTACTAGAGTTACAATATGAGATTTATTCATTGCACACCTCAAATAGTGATTGTGAGTTTCCCTCACATAGTATGCTAGAGAACTTATGAAAGACGAATACAACTCAAGTTTCAAAATTTAATTTAATGATAGGTTAAATTTTCTTTTCAAGCAATAGACCCAAATTCAAGAAAAAAAAAAGTATGATAATAGTGTTTCAAATTTCATGTCACAATAAGATGGGAATGTGACTAATTCAATTTGTTGTGTGGACATTGAAGATTGACCAATTGGGTGGTTGATGATGATTGGTCAAGAAATTGGGATTAGAGTAGACGAAAGCTAAAGATTTTCTAAGGTGGGTGCTGGGAGGTTGGTAAAACCGAAAGTATTCTCTTTTGGTTAATATTCACACCTTGCAGACAATGATAGCTTTAGCCTTTAGCTATGAGCCATACGTGAGCGTGACAACACAGACATTCTAACGCGGAATTGATTTCTCAAAGTCTCTACCTTTGACAAAATCAAAATAATAGGCATTTCACGACATAAATAATATTAATAATTTATCTTGAATCCAACCAGTATTGGACACGTGGAAATTAAATTTCACATTATCTAAAAAAGTAACAATTGTTACTGATTATTTCTTTAAAATAGTTTTAGTCTTATAGATTAGTACATCTTCTAATTTTCTTCTTTTTTTCATTTCCCATATTTATAACCTAATAAAACATCTAGTTTCATAGTTAGATCAAGATGAGTACCTAGTCTCCTAATTTCCTATTCTAGCCTTGTTTGTTCTTAGCAAGAAAGCGCAAATTGGAATGGTTTTACTTTTCTAGATTATTACATCATCTAGTTTAGTGTTTGCTCTTTTCATACATTCTTCATTATACAAATATACAATTAGAAATTGGCAAAGGGTGGAAGGAATGATAACCTTTGGTTGTCTAAACGCTAAATTTGGAAAAACGATTAAAACATTTAACAACTCTTATCACTCTCTAAACACATATTTAACAATGTTGAGAATAGAGTTATTTATCACCCAAACTGCTTCAAGTGTTAAGATGTTCAACTGATGAAATAAAAGTTTAGTGGAACTAATGTATGATCGACTTTAATATCACTGTTCTTCCAAATGCATCGTAATTAAGTATCTAATAGGATTTAAAAGGTATAGACTTCAAAATAAGTAGGCTAAGCTACTTGGGAAAAAAAAGGGTGATTTGGGCATGAATACTAGGCCTCACGCGTCTTTTACAATAATTGTTATACAATGGATCAGAGTTCATTTTACATTGTAAATTCTGATCTAAAAAGTTGTTATATTCTTGTACTTCCAGATGTTCCAGTTAATCTATTATGTGCTTGTAAAAATAAATTAAATACACATAACATGTTAACTATAGACACAAATGGTTTACTGTAGGTACAGAATATGTTAATTGTAGACATATAATTTTATACTTACCGTTAACCGTGTGTGTCAGTAGTTACTATTTTATGTGTTTGTAGTTAACATGTTATATGTCTTTAATTTATTTATAGCACATAAACAATTAATTGCAGATAATGAATATGCTAACGGCAAACATATAATCTTAAGGTTATTTTTGACCAGTGTCCACAATGCAAAGTAAACCTCGATCCATGGTATAATTTGCCATTTTACAATGGACTAACTGATTTGTTTTCTTCAACAATAGTTATTGTGTGGACCAGAGTCTACACAACTGTGTGGACTATGATCCAAAAACGACGTCATTTTGCTTAATTTTATTTTTTGTGCGCTTAGCTGCAACATAAATTTTTATAATTCATAATGTATATTATTCTAAAATATAATGTACATTATTTTAAAATATAATGTACATTATATTATCCTAAATATGTTATTATTCTAACACATAATGTACATTATTTTAATACATAATGCACATTATTCTTACTTATAATATTCACAACAATACTTTAGTCCGTGGTCCACATGCGTGGACGACGGTCCACACAATAATTTGCCTTTCTTCAAGAGGGCGGCCGGATCAAAAGTGTGAATAAAAGGGAATCTAAACCCACATATGAAGATGAGCAAGGGCCAAGGTGTTACCTTTTTTGTCGTCGAATCCACAGGAGTAAGGGTAGATTCCGTCGTGACAAAGACACGTTGGTTCTTCTAAATTTGTGCCCGACCAACATACCCCATCAGAAGTCTCGCAAGAAAAACAGTACTCATAGCTCCCATTATACACCACCGGAATCCCTTGGCTCAACGCCCTCAACAACTCCATCTTGTTGCCCCTCACCTCCGTCAATTTAATTTCCGAAATCGGAACCTCAACTCTCGACTCACAATAACTTTTCTGATCCAAAACCCCCTCGGGACACTATTGTCGTCCTCAAAAAACCCAAACTTCTCAACACCATCCTCGGTGCATTCGAACCCAAATCTTGAATACTCCGGGGGCAGGTGGAACGACGAGTTACAATCGAAGTGCAACGTAATGTTATGCATATCAGGGAAGTGTAAAAATGGGTCATCACTCAACCTCGTTTCACTAATTGATCTATTGGGGCACTCATCGTCGACCAGATCGCTACGCGCAATTTTCATCATATATTTATAAGGAACATCGATGTCGAACACCCGAAATGACAGGGAATTAATGATCATAGTCGTATGATTAGTTTTCTCGTCGCACGTAAGTTGGAAATCTGGATGGCCGCAATCTTTAAGCCTGTCTCCGCCCCAGAAAGGGTACCCAATACCCTTGATTTCACCGCAGTTATAGTAGCTACTATTACACGTCAAAAACTGATTGCCGGAGACCAGTGGAGAGGAGGTGAGCAGGAGGAATATGATGGTGGTGATGGAATGGGGAAGAAGAGAGTGGAAGCTTAGTACATACATTTGTAATTAAGAGCATATGTAGAGGAGGAGATGATGATGGAGTTTAATGGAGAATGGAATGATATGATGATGCGTTTTCTAGCTGTAATATTTTTAAAGGAAAAGGGCGACATTTTTCCTTCATATTGCTAAGAAACTAGGAACATGAGAACTAGATTGTCCAAGGTTGAATTGTATAACGTTGACCAGTACATTGGAACATGAGAACGCACGCGGCAGCTGCTAAGTTGATCGATGACTCTTTCCACTGGTCAATTACTTAGAAATTATTGGAAAATGAACCTGCTTAATTAAACCGACCCTATACGAATGAAATTAGTCTAAATATAGTACAGTTTTAAAGGTGCTCTCACAGTTAAGACATGCTCATAACACTTCGTGGTTTGACAAAAACATACTTCTGAATTTTTGCTTTCTAACACCCACAGATTCCTATTTTCTTAGGATGATTATTATTATTAAAAGAAGGCTAAGGATTCTCCCTCTAGAAAGTAGACTACAGGATAATGTATTGGTTTAGTTTGTTATATAATATAATATGACTGCTAACTTTGAAGTAAATAATAAAAAAACACAGATGTCCCTTTCCTTTATTATCCTTTAGAATAAGGTTGTGGTCCTTACACAAAATTTACCATGTGAACTAATATCCAAAATAAGATATTTGTACAGACCATATATATAAGCTATACTCGTAGTAATTTGAGCATAAAAATTTATGTGAGTGTATGTTATAAACTTAAAAAAAATGGCTTTATTTATTTATTTTATTTTTTTTTGAAGAAAATAATTTCTTGATTTAACAGTGATATGTTTTACTTTAAAATTATTTCTTTGAAAGTATTATGGAGCACTTTTTTTTGTTGAAGAATGATAAATTTTACTTTAAACATAATAAATGCTACTTCATTCTTAACAATAATGATTTAGCTTTCAATAATAGGTTCTGCTTAAAAATATTACCTTTTACAGGGCGTTTGGTTGGAGGGAGGGAATTATGTGGGAAAGGAATTGTAATTCCATGGGAGTTGAAATACTGTGAATAAAGTGGGAATTTAAATTCCAGTGTTTGGTTGATAGGAATAGAATTACTGGAAATTTCAATTCCAATGTTTGGTATACATGGGAATTGAAAGGGAATAAGTAGTATAAAGTCAAAAATGTCTATTATTGTTGTTAGACATTAATTTTAGGTTAAAAAAGGAAGGGGTAATTTTGACTCATCACTATCTTTTTTTCCCAGGAATTAAAATACCAGGGGGGACATGGGATTTTAATTCCATGAAAATGGAGGAATTGCAATTCCATGGAATTGCAATTCCCTTCAACCAAACTACGGAATTTAATGGCCTTTGGAATTAGGTGGGAATTAAGTGGGAAGGGAATTTAAAATCCCTCCAATCAAACGCCCTGTTAGTTGAGGAGAAATAGACGATAGCCGCGGCAAAAAATTTCCTATCACCACCACAAAAATAATAATAATAATAATAATAAACATCAAGACTAAGAGTGCTGATGTTTCGAAAGTGAAGCTCTGGTATGTTGTCTTTTTTTAGCAAGAGAAAAACCAACAACTTGAAAAACTCCATAATCATTATTCAAGATTCTTTACTGGATTATGAACCCTACTTTGTGACTCTTGTTAGCAAAGAATCATATAGATCGTAAAGCATCCTAGATTCCTAGGTTACATATAACTGGTCGGCTTAAACTAAAATAGTAAATAGGCCACTCATGTTAAGAATCGAATTCGTAATCTTATGGTTATCAAATCAACTTAAATCGTGTTTTAGTTGTTTATATTTAGGCGTAGTTTCTTCTATTATAATGTACGAAGAAATTATTCACATAAGACTAGGCAAAAAGAAAATCATTATTGTGTGAACGGTGGACCATACTATTAAATAATGTACATTCACTACACAAATAATGTACTTTTAGTATATTAAAAATGTAAATTGTATTCAGAGAAATTAAAATATATTATTTGAGTACTAAAAATACATTATTTTGTATACTGTTCATCCAATACACTAAAAATGTACTTTTAGTATATTAAAAATGTACCTTTTGTTATGATCCACACAATTATTTGACAAACAAAGTTATAACTGCCCAATAATCCAACACAACAATTGTTATACCATGGCCTAAGTTCACCTTGCATCGTACTTCGGTCCAAAAATTATGTGTCTATATATATTTAACATACTATGTGTCTTCAATTAATAAATAATTTGTCTATAAATAAATTGAAAGCACATAATTTGCTAACTGCGAGCATATAATATGTTAACTGTATATTATGTATCTGTAGTTAACATATTATATGTCTTCAATTTATTTACAAACACATACTATGTTAATTACAGATACATAATTTAAATATCATTTTAGATCAAGGTCTACCTTATATTATGGACCCGAATCCTTAGAATTAATTTGCTTCCAAACTAAACACTTGCAATCATTATTGCATGGACCATGATCCACACAATTATGTGGACCATAAATAAAAAGTACATTTTTAATATATTAATGGTACATTATTTATGTACATAAAGTACATTTTTTCAAAATACAATTTTAATATAGTAAAGCTACATTATTTTATATAATGTAGCTTCAGTACAAAATAATATACTTTTAATTTATTAAAAATATGTGTGGACCATTACAATAATTTGTGTGGACCATTACAATAATTTGCCAAACACTCGTAACTGGGCCGTTCATAAACTACATGTGAAAACTTAGATTGGGCCTCTACAAATTCCTACGCGTCACCCATTTTCCCTTAATATTTGTCAGAAGGCACAGACAGGAAACTGAGGAAAGACCATATTACAAAGTCACGTTTGAGTACCCAAAAAAAAAAAAAAAAAAAAAAAGTATATAATAATACAGACAGGAATTAAAGATAGTGGCGGACAGAGTTGACCGTGATGCAGTTTCGGTATATTACAAACGAATAAATTTTACATGTCTTCCTAATTTCTCCTCCTATTTTATACTCCCTATTATTTAATATGCTTTTATTACTCAATTTTGTAGGGGCTCAAATTTTAAAAGAATCACTTGACCTAGAATTAAAAGAGATACTGTATGGATAACCAAGCCAAAACGACTAAATATACAAACTTGTGACTACTATGTCATGATTTTAAATCCAACCTTCTTTGTTTTATCTTGTTAATTAGGTACAATTTAAGCTAATTTATCTATTTGTGATCTTTTACTAACTAGGGTCACAATGTGAGCTCCGTACACACTTTAAAGTAGTGGCTACGGATTTAAATTGTCACAAAAAAGAACAAAAAAAAAAAAAAAAAAAACAGATCGTGACTGGGTTTGGTATAGTCAACGAAGGAATAGTGTAGAGGAGTTGCAAGGTTGTAGTAGCTAGCTTATAGGTGTTTTTTGAAGTTTTAAAAGTCCAACTATCCCCATAAGACAAAATCCACAGATCAGCTTCATACTAGCGGCGTGGAAATCACTCTCCTCCATTCGACCATTCCTTTTAGATTCCACACCGTACCCAGTCAAAACCCAAACCTAATCCTTTGCATAACAAGTCTTTGGAGATGACAGCTGCCTTCCTCAGTCCTCACCATGCGCACAGATCATAAAGATTGTCACTAATTTGTATTTTCCCGTATCGGAAATGTTAGGTGAATTCTTATGTTGTTGAATATTCAACAACCAACTTGACTCAATAATAATTCACTTTTAAAGCTAGAAACTATATTGCAGGTAGCTAGGCATACAGAATGAATGAATGAATGTTTAAGAAAAAAGAAATGGTTGGGAATTGAATGAAAGAAGTAGGTGAATGATACATACCTTTAGAAGGGCAATCAGGGACGATAATGACTGTTTCGTTCTTGCAAAAGCACAAAAAGTTGCCGAAATTATGTTTGCCCTGCTCGCACCACCCTTGGGGATTACAGTGGCTGCAATCGTCCAACGGCTGCCAGTTAAGATTGAACCCATTACTCATAGCTCCGCCGATGTTCATAACTAACCATTTAATATCATTTTCAACTACCCCTACTGTTTCCATCACCGTCGTCTCCACTCTGGCCTCACAAATTCTCCACCAATCCCAACTGTACGGATTAAAAGCTCCCACATACAAGTAGGACGCCTTTCGGTCTGACTTTAAACAGTGAATAGGAGGATAGGCGGCATCTCCACCAGGAAGAGGATTTTGGGTGCAGTTGAAGTAGAAAATTAGATTCAGATCTTTATGGCCGTAATAAAGCCACGGAGATTTTTGGGTGAGAGTAAAGTTGTGGCGTGCCCTGGGACAATCTTTCTTGAATGCATCGGCGTCCGCAAGAGTAACTGAATAATCATCATAGTTGATGTCCTTGACGAGAAAAGCATCATCAGAAAGGTAAAGAAGGGGGAACTCAGGATGTGGGTTTGAGCAGTCGATGCCGAAACCGGGATACCCACACACGGTTGATGAATTGTCGTCCACCCTCCAGAAAGGATATTTAATGTTCTCCAACTTTCCTAATTTCTTGCAGGGTGATGGAGGGTGGCAATGATTTTCTCTAAATACTACTGCAATATGATCTTCATCTGCGGCGTTTAATTTGATTAAGAAGAAGAAGAAGAAGAAGAAGATGGTAAACACAAGGATGAATGAAGAGGGAAACATTTTTAGAGAGCAGTTGACTGGGAAGCTAAATGGCAGGCGTGTGTGTATGTGCAACCACCCCACCATTACTTTTATGTATGCAAAATGCCAGCTAACAATGTCTTTCTTTAATTCTGCTTTGCCCATACCGTGTTCTTCTTTTTAATTTGGGACATTTGGAAAATGGAGCAGTCAACGTCGTCGTCTAAACAGTCTACTTGCTAATTCTTTCCATCAAACAAATTCTAACATACAATAAAGATTCCTAAATACTCTCTCTTTCACATGTATAAATATAATACTTTTACATTTTATAATTTAAATGTATTATATTTTCTTTATAGGTAACACATCTCTCTTCTTTCACAAAGAATCAATACTGCTTCCATTGAGAAAGTCACTTTATGCCACTAGACCACAAGGTCATTGGCATATATATACATCTATCTGAATATACTTGCTTTCTATTTGATCTTTTAATGTAATAAAATGTCACATATAAATATTTACAAAATAAAAAGATAAACACTAAAACTTTTAGCACAAAGAGCAAACAAAATGTAATTGACTAAGACCATCTCCAACGGAGCGCTAAACCACCAAAACACCAAAAAAAAATAAAAAAAATAAAAAAAATAGCGCGATTCAGCTCCAACGGGGCACTATTTCACCAAAATTTTGGCGCACTATGAACAGTGCTACGCCATATTTGGCGCAACACTTTTCACATTGCGCCAAATCTCTATAATTTTTTTCTTCATTTTTACCCCTCTTTTTTGTTTAATTCCTTTTGTATTTTGTTTTTTGTTTTAATATATTTGTATATTTTGTTAAATTGTTAACTATAAATTTTATATTATTTAAAATGAATTATATCATTTGAATGATTTCATCAAGACGATTAAAATAAGTCTAATATTGAACATAGATTAATTAAAAATGAAAACACATAAAGCTCAATTATAACAAAATTAAAGCAAATTACATACTTAATTTAAAGCAAACATATAAAACTTAATTAAAACTACTTTAAACATACTTAATTTAAAGCAAACACATAAATTGTATATTATTAAAATAAATTTATATCATTTGAAAGATCTTATCAAGACGATTAAAACAAAACTAATATTAAATATAATTTAATTAAAAATAAAATTACATAAAATATAATTAAAGTCTAAATTATTAAATTACAACTATTAGTTTTGTTAAAAGAATAAAAGTATAAATATAAACTTTATGAGGGGTGTAGGAATAAAATTTGGTGCAGAATTTGGTGTAATGGGTTGGAGATGAAAAAAATTTGGTGTAAGAATATGCTGGGAATATTCCTTTTTTGTGCAAAATTTGGTGCAATGGTTGGAGATGGTCTAAGCTTGCAGATAAGCAAACGAGCAAAAACAAATAAACTTTTTTTTTTTTTTTCATTTGTTACACTTATAAGTGATGGTTTAAAACGATAAAATGAGATAGTTAGATAAAAATAAATATATTTGGGTAGATTGTTAATATTGGCATCAAATTGACTGAATATATTGAAAATATAGGGGTAAATTGACTAAAAATAAACATGATAAAATTGGCAGCGCAATAATAACATTAAGGCCAAATTAATATTTTTGCCAAAAATAATAATATATAAAAAGTTTGGATGGAGAGGTAAAAACTAACACATAATTCTATTAGAATTATAGACAATAGAAGCAGTGAGCAAATTGAAGTTTGGAAGCTACAAAATACTTCCATTTGTAGTTCAAAATGCATCCAGTCAAAGTGGGACTATAAGTAAACAATTAGTAAACCAAAAATAGATAAGAATTACAGAATATTACTTAAGACTTGATTCCCGTTCAATTCATGCCACAAGTATTGGGATATAGATTTGAATTAGTCTCTTTGTACGTTAAAGTATATAATTTAGTGTTGAGTTCAAAATTAGATTATTTTTTCATGAACATTGGTCAGATTTGTGAAGTTCATGGTATAATTTTGTGAAATTTAAAAAATTGGGTTATAAAAATAATAATAAAGCAAAAATATAATTAAAAGTCGGTCAACTTTGTGTGGGAGAAGAAAATCGGAATGCACAAAAGTTCAAACCACACGGCTTCTCAACACCCAACACAACATACTGCATAGTACTTGTACGATTAATCTGTGCTAGTTGCAGATCACAATCAATAAATTTCTTTTTTCTTTTTTGGACTTATACGCAGCGTATAAGACACGATTGATGATATTATCATAGTATGAGTTCTTTACCGTATATATTACGTTTAAATAAATTTTGATAGTGATATTAGAAGAAAATGCAATTTCAGATATCCAATTATACGTATTTTAGGGTCCATTTAAAAATTCAAAAATAACTTTCAAAAGTCATTTTTAGAATGAGTAGCGATTCCCATGAGTCTTTTTGGTATTAGCTATTCACAAGTTCTCAAAGATTAACTTTTCATCACACACACACATATTATGGACATATCAGAATTGTAGAATAAGTTGAGATCAAACAGATTGAAATCAATGAAGAGAAGAAAATATGCAGTGGCAATTTCGTAATTTCCTGCACCATGTATATTTCGATTGTGCACTTATGAATGCTCTGTAGTGCACTTTTGTTGGATCTAAGCGTTGTAGTATGCTTACTTCCCAAAGGGTCACCCATCTTGTGACTGTTGTAAGTCAAGCATGCTTAATCACAGAGTTCTTTGGCTATCTGGTTGCCATATCCTACTTAAAACCAATTAGTGATAAGTAGGTGAACATTAACCATTTAACCACATCCCTCCATGGTAAGCCACATTGCGGCTTCTGGATCTGGTCTGAGACTAGGCCGAAGAATCGCGAAAAAAAAGGGTTGCGACAGATTGGCCAGTTAGGCGGTCTAGACGCTACCTAGACGCGAAGGAGGCCGATTCTGACATTTCTCGCCGCGATCGGGCGCCTCCTAGTGCCTAGACGATATTTTTGCAACCATGATCTAAACTACCTTCTACACTGACGCTTGATGCTTGATTAGTGGATGATTTCATTAAAGACAGTTGACGAGCTACAAATGAGGGTGCCTAGCTTGAAAGGTCTTTGCAAATGGCCCATACGTGTTTGTAGCCTAATTTTTCTCAATCATATTTTTGTTTATACTCTTCAGTAGCACACACCATATATCAGCATCAGTAGCATCGCTAGCACCGCTAGCACCGCTAGGGCGCATTCGTTGTAATTTTACAGTAAATGGCATGAAACTCAAAGGTCTTAGCACAAATTAGACTTTTAGTAACCATATTTTTCAACCAGTTTTAGTAAAGTCCCAAAACAATTAAACAGGTTGAAACCGGAAAAATAACAAAAGAAAAATATGAAGAGACAAAAATGCTCTTACAAAAAACAGAAAAAGTCATGAAAATGACTAAAAGTGTCCAAAAAAGAGTTAATTCCGCCAAACGGCCATTGTCTTTGGTGACAATTCCAAATTTAGTCCCAGACTATCGTTTTGCCATTTAACATCCCTAGACTATTATTTTTTGGACACTTTTAGTCCTTCTCATCATTTTTCCTATTTTTTGTAAGGGCATTTTTGTCTCTTCATATTTTTCTTTTATTATTTTTCCAGTTTCAACCGGTTTAATTGGTTTATAACTTTAGGTAACCTCTGATTTTTTTAATAATAATATTTTTAACCGGCTTTTAGTAAAGTCCTAAACCAATTAAACCGGTTAAAATGAGAAAAATAACAAAAGAAAAATATTTATAGTAAGTCACTTCATGCCACTAGAGCACAAGGTGACAACTAAAAATAATTAATATACTTACACTATAATATTTATAGTAAGTTTTTAATTTTTCATTATTTATTTTTATAAAAATAATTTATTTTGTAATATATTTATTATTTTTAAAAAATGTAATTAAAAAATACTAAAGATGAGCTTACCTATAAATTCCATATATATTATGTTCCACATCATTTCTCTAATAAAAAAATAACCTTAAGCAGTTCGGGTTATCTGGTTAGCCTGTTCAGGTCATGATTAACACGTGGCAATCTAGTTAGTCTGTATAGTATAAGGACATTTTCAGCCCAAAGAATTTAAGCCCCCACCATCGAGGTTCGAACATATATGACCATAGGAGAGTAACTTGGTGTCACTTGACCACAAGGTCATTGGCATACCAATACGATTTTAATTAGCCTTAAAAGTGAATCATTGAGTCTAGTTGGTTCTTGAATATTCAACAACACACTCTGCATGATAAGAATTTACCTTGATTATGCAAACTACTATGTAGTGTGATGACAAATCTGTTACCATTTCAAATGGGTGGTCAAAGGATTGAATTTTGGTGGTGTAGATTTGTATTCTTTGGGCTAAAAATTATTGAGAAAGTATAGAATATGTTGGTTTTACGATCACGGGGTAGCCGTTCGGTAGGCCAACACTACTGTAAAAATACTAAGTAAAAGTTGAGAGAGAAAATTGATAGAATAATTGCACTTGAAATCAGAACCCTTTACAATGTAACCTCAGGGGTATTTATACAAGATTCATAAATCTTGAAAAAGGAAAGGAAGAAGAAATTAACAAATTTAAACTTAAAAAAGCTTCCAAACTGTAGTGCTTACTTCCTAGTGCTTACTTCCTAATATTGAAAATGGAAAATCTCGCTGCAAAAATGAAAAGAATCTTCGTCAAATCTTCATTCACCACTTTTGAGCGCGGCAACCGGTCAGGACCCCCGACTACCTGCATTGGTCGCTCAACCGAGCCCGCCGACAAGCCACACAAGCGGATCGTAGCCACGTTGTTGGAGCCTACCCATTTTTCGAGCAAATAGCTAACCTGCCAACCCAATTGCCTAGGTGCGTTGCTGACTGGGTATCTTACCAAAGGTATCCATGAGAATAGATAATACCTTTTAATGAATTATGAGTGTTTAAAAAAAAAAAAAAAAATTCACCTAACATTTCTGATACGGAAATACAAATTAGTGACAATCTATATGATCTGTACGTGTATGGTGAGGACTGAGGAAGCTGTCATCTCCAAAGACTTGTTGTACAAAGGATTAGGTTTGGATTTTGACTGGGCGTGGAATCTAAAAGGAATTGTCGAATGGAGGAGAGAGATTTCCACGCCAGTAGTAGAATTGAATGCAGC